CCTTTCGACGTTGAGTTCATGCAGACACGTACACGGCAGTTCAGGCAGATCAGAGCTCATTTCAACCGGTTCTATCCTTATCTGGGAGAGAGCTCATCAACCATAGTTAATGAAATCTTTATCTACAAATATGAAATAATTATATCATAATAAAAATGAAAAAAAAAATTATTTTAGCGGCTTGAAATTTTCTTTTAAAAATGTATATTCTTTAACTTCTATTATTAGTTTATGATTATTTTTATAAGCATTTTTATTTTACTTCAATGTTTAAAAAATGTGCATATGTGTTTGTTGGGGAGTGCAAGGGCAAAATAATCATAATGATCTTACTCTTCTATTTTAATGGATACCAAAAAAAAAAAAACGAGATTAAATAATCAAACATTTTTTAACGCTCTGTTATAGATTGTAAATATATGATGATAATTTTTATGTCTACTATTTTATTTTGTGATTGAATAAAACCTATGGATTTGTCCTTTCGCCAGTGGATGTGGCGCTCAAGTGTACAACAATCAGGAAGCTTTCCTCGGTCTTTGCAAATTTTTGGTGGAACAAAAGTGATGGCAACACTAAAGGACTTCACTGGAAGTCTTGACCCCTAACCATCCCAAACCAATGGGAGGTCTTGGCTTCCAGGATCTGCACTATTTCAACAAGGCTCTGATTTCTAAGCAGTTGTGGAGACTTGTGACTTGCCCTAATCTCTTGGTAAGTAAGACACTGAAAACTTACTATCCAAACGGTGATCTCTTTATTGCCAACAAAACAAACAGTTGTTGATGGTTTTGGGGCAGTTGGATGCAACAAAGAGACTTATTCCAATCTGGCTTATTGTTCCAAATCAGAGTTGGTAAATTGGTTAAAATATGGGGCCACCCTTGGGTTCCAACATTACCTGGGCACAGATTGCACAACAGACACTCAAGGGACAAAGACCTAACTTGGGTTGTTGATCTAATGGATGACCAGGGCAGAAGATGGAATAGGTATCTGATTGAGAACTGATTCTCAACAACTGAAGCTCAAGCCATCTTAAGTATAGCAGGATTGGACCCCACGGCTAAGGACAGACTCCTCTTACAAGCAACTGATTCTGGGAAAATGTTTGAAGCTAGACACTCTAGGTACAAGCACAGACCATCAAAGGCTCAAAAAAGCAAGAATGAGAAGCTGGGGCCTGAAAAATCAAAGGAAAGATCAAGCATCTTCTATGGAAAGCTATGACGAACATATTGCCAGTGAATAGTAATCTGAGGAGCAACGGGCTATCAGTGTACATCATTTGCAAAGCATGCAGTGAAGAGCCTGAGACCCAAGATCATTTTATTTTTCATTGTAGAAGAACTCAAATTATATGGAAGTTATCATCTGTTCAGTAGGAAAATATCTACAAGTCAAACTGCACCTTCAAGAACTGTTGGCTAGATGTATGCTCTCTCAATCACTCTCCTACCTCAGAAGCCAGACTTCAGCTCACCTCGTACATGCTATGGTGGCTATGGAAGAATCGTAACCTATGGGTGTTTCAAACACCTGGAGGAATGAAGCTGATACAGTATCTCTTGCCTTGGCAGATTGAACCGAGTACTCTAGTGCTCATCTCTTTTAGTCAGTGGCGGAGCCACCAGTATGGCGAGGCATGGGCGGCCGCCATACCTGGCCGCCGGCGAACACCCCCCCACCCCCCAGTTCTGTGAGTGTCCAGACGAGGATCGATCGGAATCTTGACGGAGGTTGCCGGAGAGTTCATAAGGGTTCTACTGATTTCGCCCAAATTCGTGAGTCTTCGAGACCCTAATTTTTTGTTCTAAAAGTTTTTCCCCTTCTTGGCTTCTTACGGTCATATTAGTGAAGGAAAGACGTGTTATTGGCTTGAATTGCTCGAAGCTGAACTCTTTGCTCTTAAAAGTCGAGGGAAAAAACTGGGAAGCTTTTTGATGAATTTGATTTGTTTTGGCAGCTGGGTAGCTAAGAATTAGGGGTTCAGTATGTGGGGAATAATGAGATCTTTCATGGAGATTGTTGTTGGCTGAAGTTCATACTTGTTATTAACTCAAACGTATGGTTGAGGAATTTGAGTTTTTTCTTTTTATTTTGTTCTTGAGGTTTAATTTTACAACAGTGAGTTTAATTTTAATTTTCCTCTTCTCATTTTAATTTTATTCATATAATATTCAATCATTTTATGATTAGATTTGTAGACAAGTTATGATGGGCAAATGCAAATTCGAATCGAGAAGTTCGAAAAAAAGAAAAAAAAAAGGAAGAGAAATTAACAAAATCTCTCGCAGGATTGATGGATAGGTACATAAAACCTACCGCTCTTGTAGTAAAAGTGAAAGTGTT